TGAAACGAAATTTGATAGACTGGATCAGTGGATCCCTGACTGAGGACATTTAAATAACGGTCCAGCAACTTTTAGTCTGCTCTTTCACTTAAATTCCTACTGAAATATTATCGAAAATTCTCAGAGTTGGCTCTCGAATTTCCTACTTTTTGTCAAAAATTTCCTACTTTTTAAAATTTCCTACATTCTTAGAATGCGAGAATGCGGGTTTTTGGATATGGGGTTCCTCAACGGTTTCAGAGGATGTAAACAGGTGCTTGATTCTGACGGATATATCTACAGCCGCAAGAAAAATGATGACACCGTCCTCTCCTCTGCTTGGCGTTGCCAGAAGAACAAATCCCTTAAATGTCCTGCCAAGTGCTATCTCGCTCTCACAGACAACAATCTTTCCCTTGGAAGTAAACCACACAACCACGATTCAGATCTGGCTACCCCACAGAGACTCGAACTCCTTACAACGCTCAAGAGGAAGGCTGCAGAACAACCCCTGTCGGCGACTCAGAACCTGATATCAGAAGTCCTTGCTGATGCTTCAACAGAAGTAAACCAGACGCTACCTAATATGGAATCCCTTGGAAAAGTCGTCCAACGAGCCAGAGCTTCTGCCTCCGGATCTGCCCAACATACCGAGTCGAAGACTTCTCTTGAATTCGTTCTTCCTCCCAGCTGCACATCTACGAGAAGAGACGAACCATTTATCCTCTTTGATGGGAAGACTGACCGAGATGTGAGAATCATAGCCTTCGCCACCAACAGGAACCTTCACACCCTCGCAGAATACAACAATTGGATTGCTGACGGGACATTTTATGTCGCTCCGAAGATATTTCCCCAAAGTTACACCATACATTCGGTGATAGAAAACAAATGTCTACCATTAGTTTATATTTTGACTGGTGATAAGAAAGGAGACACCTATAGTTATGACAGTGAGGTGAGGGTTCCTCCCACATATCCTTCTGGAATCATTTCGCCAGTATTCTTCAGGATCCGGAGTTCCCTCGGACCTCTAACATGGTGGAGGGGTTTCACAGAGGTTTCAAAACCCGAGTGAATCGCCCAAAGCCCTCTGTTCAAGAATATTTTCGTGCTATCAAGGAGCAACAGGTTGTTACAGATTACCATCTGGATCGGCTTGCTGTTGGAAAGACTCCTTCCAAAAAGAAGAGGATTTCCAGCAGTATTCTGTACGACCTTTGTTCCTTCTACACGACATACCCAACAAAGATTGAGTACTTGTTCGCTGTTGCGAAATACTTTGGTAATAATATTGAGTAATTTGTTGTATTCTGAAGTATTATATTATTAATCGATTTAACATTTTATAACCAGCCAATACATTGTCTCAATTTAAAACATGTTCACTTCTTAATTTGTAGCTTCTGTGTGCAGAGTTGTCATATGAACTTTACCCCAGATCTAGCCCATTTCTAGGTCAATTATATTCAATCCATGGATCACATCACTAATTATACGCCACAAGCTTCAAGCTTGCATGTTAATTACTTGATGACGTATATGGTGGATCATATCACTTCGGCCCCAAAGTCTGGCAGCCGTCAAAAACGCTATTATACCGGAGTTTTATTATAGTCAGGAGTTGGACGTTTTTCTGTACGCTTAGCTTGTCAATCTATGGTGTAGTTACCGTATAATATAAATGCTGTGAACACATTTTTCACTTGCTCGTTGACGAGGGTCACGTGATGGTAGGCGAATTTGTCAAGTTTATACGACTATTGTAATTGTACAATAAAATATTTATATTTTTGTATCCTTGTATCCGTGACCTCTGACAGGACACCGGTCATCTCGCCCAATTTTCCCGGGAGAATCAGATCTCATGTCAACTAGCGCGTGATCATCCCGGCCTGGGTGGTCCACTTGTAATGTTGTCAAACGGGAACCTCGGCCTCGCACATCTGGTAGTGAAGTACTGATTACAGCTGCAGGTCCTCCAAATTCACGAAGTCCAACAAGTCCTTGTATGAGCCATCAGTGTAAATCACGGTACTTTTCTAATCGTAATCGCTTAGCTTGGCATCATTCAATGGACATTTGTTGTTCAAAAGAAGAAAAGTCAAAAATGAGAGTGAACGGTGACTGCTTATTGCATAAGCTCTTAAATCTGCTAACCGTACATAGCTCACGCAGCTGTCTACAGTTGCTGGGCTCGTTCCGGGTCAGAAATTTAAAGTTTACTGCGGCGTGGGGCTACATCGTCGTTCTGCTGTCGTGTACATTTAAGAATGTGGTGTGGAAAGAGTTCTGACTTTTCCTGGAGTAAAGATATATGTCGGCCGTCTTTGTCACGGAGAAGTCTTTAAAGCTTTAAAGCTCTGAGCTTGACCTATTAAAAGACAAAAGATACATTTGCACGTCACGAGTAATGTGACCTACTGAAAAAAAATCGGGCAATTTGAAAATTTAGTCAAGTTCACACATGCACAATCAACCCCTCATTGGTGTGATCCTCTGATCCGGGAAATCGAGATGTCCTCTCACAAACAACAGTTATTAGTAACAAGCATAACACGATTTTCCAATCTATTAACGAAGTTTGAGCATTTAGGGTCAAAGCAGAGACTTGGGTCGATGTGAATCGGCTTAAAAATAACAAATTTGGGGTATCTTTATTTTACATCTTGGTCGAGACCTGTCACCAGCAATATGATTTCATGTTGCCTTATTCAGGCGGGCGAAACTCACGTTACATGCGATCTGATCATCTGACTCTCACGATCGAGATCGGTAGCTTTAACTCACCAGCTCCAACACGGTTTTTTAGACTTTTTTCGGTTTTTCGAGCTGCCCTTCTCCCCTGAGGCCACGATGAAAAACATACAATATATTATATCTTTATTCTTTATATGTTACATGCATTCCCCTGCAGTAGTGAAAAGTAAATTGTTTGTTTTATTTCAGTGTCGACAGCTCAAACTATGGTGGTATCTTATCGCTACAATGCTGCTAACTAGACTCTTGGATGAAGTTAAGTTGTTTTAGTCAGATGATCTACTTTTTGGCGTTTCCTACTGCCCTAGTTATAGTAGTTCAAGGTTTAACTGTAAATATAGTGTTAAGTAAGTTTCAATACTTCCCTGCCACCTTTTCAGACATTGCAGAGATAGGTATGCTTTATCAAACAAAGCCACTAGGTAAGCAAATTCAAATATTTTGACAGTTCATACTGCGGTTATACATTGCAGCCAATGCGCAGCAAACAAGAGCTTGCCACTGCTATAAGCATTCGTATTCGTAGCTTGTTTGAATCTCAAATTTATTCGAATTATCATAAGTAGCCGGAAGCCCGTCCTGCGGACGGAGTTCTTCAGCACAAAATCGATTCTCAAACATTTTAAATCTACCCTTTCTCATTTCTACTTCTTTTCCTTTCACAATTTTCATGTTTTTAAAAAACTTCTTACCCCTATCCATGTCACCTATGATTCATGCATTTCTAGCTTCTCGGACAGTGCTGTCTTTTCCCTCATTGGCAAATCCTGAAAGTTTTATGAAAAATATAGATCAGAGTTATGTTTGTTCTGCACGTCTGCATTTCAGGTATTCGTGACACAGTTTACGTGTGATGACGTGGGCATCTCTCAACACACTTTGCAGCATGAGCGACGGTGCCGTGGCGGGATATCTGGAAATGTAGCCTTGAGCTCAGTTTATTTTTCTCCGTCACCTCACCCGGGGGAGGGGGGGGGGGGGGAGCCAATGACTTTGGGTACTTTGGGGACAAGTGCAGAATTTCGCCAGCAATTTAACCTCAAGTCTCCAAGATTTTTAGCCCCCATTGGTACCCAAAAGTCTCCTTTAGAAGTCATTTAATAAAAGATAATATCAAAACTACATAAAACTCGCCAAAACTTTGGGTACTTATGGGGACAAATGGAAAATTTCACCAGCGATTTGACCTTCAGTCCCTATGATTTTCGTCCCCATTGGTGCTCAAAAGTCTCCATCAGTAGTCATTGCCCCCCCCCCCCCCCCCCCTCATCCTGTGTCGGCTGTATTCAATTCTGATTGTACCACGGTTAAAAAATGCCAGTTAAATGTACCAACTCTCGTTTTATTTATTGTACCGACTCTCGCTCTTCGACCACGCTTTTCGTCTACTTGGCGTAGGGCGCGGTAATATTTCATGTAATCACGCACACACGTATCGCGCGCGATGTAGAAATAAGTGCAGCGCACATGGTCTTGTGGGTGACCCCCGTAATCCATGTGGTGGGGCAGGAGGGTCAAGCACTGTTTTTGTGGGTGACCCCCGTAATCCATGTGGTGGGGCAGGAGGGTCAAGCACTGTTTTTTCTGAAATGAACCTCCTGATCCATGTGGTGGGGCAGGAGGGTCAAGCACTGTTTCTGAAATGAACCTCCTGATCCATGCGGTGGGGCAGGAGGGTCAAGCAATGTTCTTTTCAGGTTGACCCTCCTGCGCCATTATAGTAAGACACAGTAAGACCAGCAAGAGAACGGGTTGAAAAAGTCACGTGACATGAGTCGAGTGTAGATCAGAGTGATTAATTTTCAGTTCGTCCTGGTAATCGCAGCCATATTTAACAGCACCTATATCATAGGTCTACAACGTGTGACATAAAATGGTTAGCCGTTATATATTAGCCCTCTACTATATGAAATGCAGCTGCAGGTCAATGTGCATGAATGACCTTGATTGACGAAGTCAACCCTTATAGATCGTTGCTCTGCTTTGCGGTGACGTCCTAAAACATAAAAATGACCCGACTGGTTAATTATATTCATGTCAAAATGAATATAATATTATTGATTATTTGTTTACATTTCGGTTTATCGCGCGCACTTCACACCATAGAAAATAGGTTAGACGATTGCGCTTGCCACCAAATTTTGGCGAAAACTGGATAAGGTTTCACATTTATTATAAAACTTTGGGTTTATTTACCTTTATTTATGCTAGATTAGCTTAAGGATATACATAACACGACGCTTAAAAGAGAAACAGTAATGTCGATTAAAATATTTATTCAAATGAAACCGCAAACAAAATTTATGTAAAATTCTTCAACATGTAATTAATGCACTCCTTCTTTTTTGGAACTAGCTCCTTCCAAAATATCTACGCACCTCCTATTGAACCTATATTGAGAGGTTTAGAAATGGGCATATTCACGGCCATCACGCAATCTGCGGACCACCTCATTCGCTACATATTTTAAAGCTCTGACTACAGTTACAGTTCAATGAGCTTGATTGAAATTGTATTGGTGGATCTTGCAAAAATATTTGAAGGTTTGATGGCTCATCAGCTGGAATAGGATCTCTAGTTTTCAGATATTCAATAGCTGCCTCCTTGCCTACGCCCAGGACAGTTATCCGGTATTTGTCGAGCTGAGAAGAGAGAAGTGCTATATAGTGGCATAATAAAGTAATAATTTAAAGATATAAATTAGCACAAAAAGTGTAATTTTAGGGGTGTTGCCCTTTTTAAATGTTGTGCATCTTTGAAATGCATATACTTACTTTAGGTAAATTATCGAGTTATTAACTAATTCCTTCTAATCGAGCAACTGCAAGCACCCTGTTACACCCTGTTACACAAAAACTTACCTCTTTTATATGCCAATATACTCTTTTATATGCCAATATACTCAATATAGACTCAACTCTGCACCCGTGTCAATATGTTCATTATATGCAAGCCTCTTGATTTATATTTCAGCGGTTGATTTTGTGACATAATCCTATAAATGAAAACAAGTTTAATCCTGCCAACAACAATTGATGTACAATATACTAGCCCATAAATACCAAATAAAGTAAATCGAGATAGAATTGGTCGTAGCAAAGATATTTTATTAGAAGAAGTTGTAATTTTTAAATCTGTCTAAGAGGTAACGTGTAATGAACAGCAGTTTATAATATAAAATATATAATATAAAATAATCAATCGATAAAAATCTATTATAAATAAAACCATTACTAGACACAACATAACACGCAGCATTGATCAAAATTATTATTTAAACTGTAAATTCTAGAATCAAGAACATTATACAAAATTCGGAGTCAAATTATCGTTAAAAGTATAAATTATTAGCAATGCTATGCTAGTAATTGCTACCATTGTACACTTTAAAAACACGACGTTCAATTCTTAAAGATTTCGTACAATCGATCTTTGACATCATCGTCGAAAATCCACCTAATACAATCAAAATTCATCTTCTTCAAATCATCTCGTGACATTCCAAAGGACTTAACAGCAATCTGATATTCTTTAGACAAAGAAGTATCAAAAGTACCCGAATCATCCGTACACAATATAACAGGATGCCCCAAATCATACCACTTCTTAAAATGGTGATCTTCATACTTGAGGACGGAACGACACAGGATATTGGATGTCATGCAACACTCAATTAACAAATTATTCTCCTTCACAAACTTCCCATCCTCGCTGTCAGGCAATATAAGGGTAGCGTGTCCCAGTCTGTCAGGACCAATAATTCGTAACATATCAGCAGTATGGTCTAGAGTAGTTGGATCTTCAGCGATGTGGCACGCTATCTTTAGTCCTGCATTCTTGCAGCGTTGCAGCACTGCCATAGAGTGTTCCTTGCTAGCACTGTAAAAGTCACCACATAGATCCAACCCTACAACCAAGGGTGAAGTAGCTGCGTAATGTATGGCAAGATCAGCATTCTCGTTCATTTCCGCTAAAGATTTGGACTGGTCCACACTGACCAAATATCTAACAACCATCTCACCCTGGTACTCACACATAGTTTCCAGAATAGTTTCCACATACTCCACCTTACTCATGGAGCCGGTGTGTTTGGGAGAGGACCTCAGCTCAAGGTACACAACACCGTCTGCCTCGAAATCCTCCAGAACCCTCCGCAGAACCACCCGGAGATTGTGTGGAGAACTACCTGTCACGTGACCAACAGCTGACATGAACTGGAAGTATTGGCGGGGCGTGGCATTAGCACCAGGACGGGAGGGAAGGGTGCTGCTGTCCTCAACTAAGTCTTGCAGGTGAGATAACCGTACACAACCGTTAAGGTGGGCATGCAGCTCGATTTTAGGAATCCGTGTTAAACTCGATAGTTCCAAGTCAGCCATATACGATAAGAAACCTTCCTAGGGATAATAATTGCCGCGTTAGTTTAGAACCGAATATTTGATATGAAAATCATGTGATAGATCTCAATAATTCTGGATGATATTTAGCTGAAACCAGTCTGATCTCTCTATTATAGTTTCACTGCGTCATAATATAACTATATAAAGTAATAGTTGATTTTGGAAAATCTGACGGAGAGTTAGCTTCGTTATACTTGTTTGGATGTTGATAATATCTGTACGAGGCCCATTTATTTATTTTACTGTCCATAAACATGTTCATTGTTCCACTTTCATTTTAGAATCCGGATATTATCTGCTACAATTTCGAAACTTTAAAAGAATTCCATCAAATAATTATTTTTTTTTCGGGCAAAACTCGAGTGCATGTTCTATTATTAGCCATCAGATGGCAGCAGAGATTTACTAATGCACGAGTTGGCTGATCCAACTTAGATAATAATTTGGAGAATGATAATTTCTCTGTATGCTACAAATAGATACATTTAGTAAAAGGCGTTTCGGTAAAAATTTGTGTATTCTGTACAGGTTTTCTATCCAATCATAAATCATTGGCCATGATAGTTATTGAAATTTGATAGTATAAGGTACTGAGTAATATGTCCCAACTTTACCTGGGGACCCCAGGCTATTATGTTCATAATAAAGATTCGGCGGAATGACAGGCTGAGGCCTGAGCGCCGCCCAGTTAGTCCCAACTTTAATTAGAAACCTATACTAGTTTAAATCAGAGTAGGTTACACAATACACGTAGTACGTACAATAACAATAAATTTTCTAAACTTCTATAATTTAAAGTGTCTCTCAAACCCACAGTCGAGCACTCGATTCACAATGCAGATCAGAGCACATTTACAATCGATTGATCAAAAATTGAAAAATCATACTGTTCCATACTCTGTCCCATTTTTAGTTTTTGAAGCTGAAACTTCCAGGGCCGAAATTTTACAGTTTTGGCCGAATTTCTGACCCGCAACCAATTAGTCAGTCAACTATTGATGCCAAATGACACGATTGAGGTGCTGGAATTTTGATTCGGGTCGGAGGAAGCTCACAGCAGAAATCTTTAAAAAACGAAAAGCTGTATTTTCAAAACTCTGTCCCATTTTCAGATGTGAAAATATCTGAACACACATTTGACAGATTGGATGAAATTTTTGCCCACAAACCATTTAGTCAGTTAATTGATGATGGTATGAAACCAAATTGGGGTACTGGAAGTCAAAATCTCGGAAAAAATTGGAAAATCATACTGTCCCATACTCTGTCCCATTTTCAGTTTTTAAAGCTGAAACTTCAAGAATCGAAATTTTACAGTTTAGGCAGAATTTCTGAACCGCAACCAATAAGTCAGTCAACTATTGATTCCAAATGACACGATTGAGGTGCTCGAATTTTGATTCGGGTCGGAGGAAGCTCACAGCAGAAATCTTAAGAAAACGAAAGTTGTATTTTTAAAACTCTGTCCAATTTTCAGATGTGAAAATTTCTGAACACATATTTGACAAATTGGATGAAATTTTTGCCCACAAACCAATTAGTCAGTTAATTGATGATGGTATGAAACGAAATTGGGGTACTGAAAGTCAAAAACTCGGAAAAATTTGTAAAATCATACTGTCCCATACTCTGTCCCATTTTCAGTTTTTAAAGCTGAAACTTCCAGGGCCGAAATTTTACAGTTTAGGCCAAATTTCTGAACCGCAACCAATTAGTCAGTCAACTATTGATGCCAAATGACACGATTGAGGTGCTGGAATTTTGATTCGGGTCGGAGGAAGCTCACAGCAGAAATCTTTAAAAAACGAAAAGCTGTATTTTCAAAACTCTGTCCCATTTTCAGATGTGAAAATATCTGAACACACATTTGACAGATTGGATGAAATTTTTGCCCACAAACCATTTAGTCAGTTAATTGATGATGGTATGAAACCAAATTGGGGTACTGGAAGTCAAAATCTCGGAAAAAATTGGAAAATCATACTGTCCCATACTCTGTCCCATTTTCAGTTTTTAAAGCTGAAACTTTCAGGGCCGAAATTTTACAGTTTAGGCCGAATTTCTGTACCGCAACCAATTAGTCAGTCAACTATTGATGCCAAATGACACGATTGAGGTGCTGGAAGTTTGATTCGGGTCGGAGGAAGCTCACAGCAGAAATTTTAAGAAAACGATAAGTTATATTTTCAAAACTACTGTCCCATTTTTAGATGTGAAAATTTCTGAACACACATCTGTGATTTGACAGATTTGATAAAAATTTTGCCCACAAACCAATTGGTCAGTTAATTGATGATGGTATGAAACCAAATTGGGGTACTGGAAGTCAAAATCTCGGAAAAAATTGGAAAATCATACTGTCCCATACTCTGTCCCATTTTCAGTTTTTAAAGCTGAAACTTCCAGGGCCGAAATTTTACAGTTTAGGCCGAAATTCTGTAACGCAAACAATTAGTCAGTCAACTATAGATGCCAAATGACACGATTGAGGTGCTGGAATTTTGATCGTGTCGGAGGAAGCTCACAGCAGAAATCTTAAGAAATCGATAAGTTGTATTTTCAAAACTCTGTCCCATTTTCAGATGTGAAAATATCTGAACACACATTTGACAGATTGGATGAAATTTTTGCCCACAAACCAATTAGTCAGTTAATTGATGATGGTATGAAACCAAATTGGGGTACTGGAAGTCAAAATCTCGGAAAAAATTGGAAAATCATACTGTCCCATACTCTGTCCCATTTTCAGTTTTTGAAGTTGAAACTTCCAGGGCCGAAATTTTACAGTTTAGGCCAAATTTCTGAACCGCAACCAATTAGTCAGTCAACTATTGATGCCAAATGACACGATTGAGGTGCTGGAATTTTGATTCGGGTCGGAGGAAGCTCACAGCAGAAATCTTAAGAAAACGATAAGTTGTATTTTCAAAACTCTGTCCCATTTTCAGATGTGAAAATATCTGAACACTCATTTGACAGATTGGATGAAATTTTTGCCCACAAACCAATTAGTCAGTTAATTGATGATGGTATAAAACCAAATTGGGGTACTGGAAGACAAAATCTCGGAAAAAATTGGAAAATCATACTGTCCCATACTCTGTCCCATTTTCAGTTTTTAAAGCTAAAACTTCCAGGGCCGAAATTTTACAGTTTAGGCCGAATTTCTGTACCGCAACCAATTAGTCAGTCAACTATTGATGCCAAATGACACGATTGAGGTGCTGGAATTTTGATTCGGGTCGGAGGAAGCTCACAGCAGAAATCTTTAAAAAACGAAAAGCTGTATTTTCAAAACTCTGTCCCATTTTCAGATGTGAAAATATCTGAACACACATTTGACAGCTAGATTGGATAAAATTTTTGCCCGCAAACCAGTTAGTCAGTTAATTGATGATGGTATGAAACCAAATTGGGGTACTGGAAGTCAAAATCTCGGAAAAAATTGGAAAATCATACTGTCCCATACTCTGTCCCATTTTCAGTTTTTAAAGCTGAAACTTCAAGAATCGAAATTTTACAGTTTAGGCAGAATTTCTGAACCGCAACCAATAAGTCAGTCAACTATTGATTCCAAATGACACGATTGAGGTGCTCGAATTTTGATTCGGGTCGGAGGAAGCTCACAGCAGAAATCTTAAGAAAACGAAAGTTGTATTTTTAAAACTCTGTCCAATTTTCAGATGTGAAAATTTCTGAACACATATTTGACAAATTGGATGAAATTTTTGCCCACAAACCAATTAGTCAGTTAATTGATGATGGTATGAAACGAAATTGGGGTACTGAAAGTCAAAAACTCGGAAAAATTTGTAAAATCATACTGTCCCATACTCTGTCCCATTTTCAGTTTTTAAAGCTGAAACTTCCAGGGCCGAAATTTTACAGTTTAGGCCAAATTTCTGAACCGCAACCAATTAGTCAGTCAACTATTGATGCCAAATGACACGATTGAGGTGCTGGAATTTTGATTCGGGTCAGAGGAAGCTCACAGCAGAAATCTTAAGAAAACGAAAAGCTGTATTTTCAAAACTCTGTCCCATTTTCAGATGTGAAAATATCTGAACACACATTTGACAGATTGGATGAAATTTTTGCCCACAAACCAATTAGTCAGTTAATTGATGATGGTATGAAACCAAATTGGGGTACTGGAAGTCAAAATCTCGGAAAAAATTGGAAAATCATACTGTCCCATACTCTGTCCCATTTTCAGTTTTTAAAGCTGAAACTTTCAGGGCCGAAATTTTACAGTTTAGGCCGAATTTCTGTACCGCAACCAATTAGTCAGTCAACTATTGATGCCAAATGACACGATTGAGGTGCTGGAAGTTTGATTCGGGTCGGAGGAAGCTCACAGCAGAAATTTTAAGAAAACGATAAGTTATATTTTCAAAACTACTGTCCCATTTTTAGATGTGAAAATTTCTGAACACACATCTGTGATTTGACAGATTTGATAAAAATTTTGCCCACAAACCAATTGGTCAGTTAATTGATGATGGTATGACACCAAATTGGGGTACTGGAAGTCAAAATCTCGGAAAAAATTGGAAAATCATACTGTCCCATACTCTGTCCCATTTTCAGTTTTTAAAGCTGAAACTTCCAGGGCCGAAATTTTACAGTTTAGGCCGAAATTCTGTACCGCAAACAATTAGTCAGTCAACTATAGATGCCAAATGACGCGATTGAGCGATTGAGGTGCTGGAATTTTGATCGTGTCGGAGGAAGCTCACAGCAGAAATCTTAAGAAATCGATAAGTTGTATTTTCAAAACTCTGTCCCATTTTCAGATGTGAAAATATCTGAACACACATTTGACAGATTGGATGAAATTTTTGCCCACAAACCAATTAGTCAGTTAATTGATGATGGTATGAAACCAAATTGGGGTACTGGAAGTCAAAATCTCGGAAAAAATTGGAAAATCATACTGTCCCATACTCTGTCCCATTTTCAGTTTTTGAAGTTGAAACTTCCAGGGCCGAAA